TGGGCACTATGGGACAATTTAGCACGGCCAATCCACCCTAACCTGCAGACCTTTGGACTGTGGGAGGAAACCCACGCTAGACACGGGGAGGGAGAATCTGCAAACTCCACACAGTCACCAGAGGGTGGGATTGAACCCGGGTCCCTGGTGCGGTGAGGCAAGCAGCGCTAACCACTGAGCCACGGTGCCGCCACATCAGAAGCCCATGGCAGTGCAGGAGGGAGTGCGGGGCATGGCTGGGTGTGTGTGGTTTGGGCTTTGGGAGTGGGAGGGTGGGTGGAGGTCGGTGGTGACTTTAAGGAACAGGATACATCAGGCAAATGTGAGCGTGATTCAGGCAGGAGGTATGAGTGAGTCATTGCAGCCCCTGGGCCAGAAAGGCACGTGTTTGTCAACAGGAAATAATTCCAATCTGCCGACACTTTCCTGCCCTGGAAAGAGATTTGACTCATCGTCTCGGATCCCGGGATTAAGGCGAAGTGGCCTACCATTTCTAAACAAAAAAAAAACCTTCAAACGGGCAGAGGGAGGGAGATAGAGAGAGGAAATCTGTTGAGGGGGTATCCCAAAGTTTGGAGGCTATAGGCTCCGTAGGAATTGTGAGTTGCGGGGTGGTAGAGGCTTGGTGGGGTGCGGGATTGGCGAGACCTGAGAGGCCAGTGCATGCGGTTTGTCTTCCACTCCCTGAGCGATTCCAACTGTTCCCAACGCTACCCCCCCTACCCTCGGGATCCAGGTGTCCTTCCCGGCTGAGGAGTCCGCCAAGCCTTGGGTCACCCAACGCTGGCGCCAGTCGGATTCGGGAACGGGCATCCGCCGAGGCCAGTCGGATCCCATTCCCGGCGTCTCAGCCGAGAACGGGATGGGAGGTGTTGAGCAGCCGGGGTCCTGAGCGCAAATCTCAGGAGCAGGGGCTCGAACCTGTGACCTCCCACCTCCGACGCGACAGAGAGAGAAAGACCAATTTGCACTCACAGTCCATTCCCTCGGGGGAAGGGGACAAAGCAATTCAGCCCTTTTAGCCTGCTCTGTCTTTCGGAGCTGGCCTATTTGTGCTGCAAATACCACATTCCTATTTGCCCCTGATTAGCCCTGCCGAGCAAAAATCCATCTGCCTGTGTCTTAAAAAGACTCAAAGAGCCTGCCTCCACCCCCGACTGAAGCAGAGAGCTCGCCCCACCCTCTGAGACAAATCTTCCTGCTCCTCTGATGCTGCTTGGCCTGCTGTGTTCATCCAGCTCTGCACCTTGTTGTCCCCTTCATTCCCGACTGAGCCACAGGAGGAAACATCCTTTCCATATCCACCTTGTCAACACTCCCCCCGCTTTGGGATCTTATTCTCTTCCAGTCAGTCACCCCTCACTCCAGTGGAAACAGCCCAAACTTTCCTCAAAAAAAACCAACCTACATATTCCAGGTATCAGTCCCAGCGAACCTCCTCTGAACTGCCTCCTTCCTCAAATGAGGAGACCAAAACTGCACACAGTGTTCTGAGGAAGGGTCACTCGACAAGAAACATTAACTCTGATTTCTGCCCATAGAGGCCGCCAGGCCTGCTGAGCTTTTCCAGTGATTTGTTTCTGATTTCCGCCATCCGTGGTTCTTTCAGTTTTTACACAGCGTTCGGGATGTGATCTCACCAATGCCCTGTAAAACTGAAGCACAACATCCCCCACCTTTTGATGTTCAGATCCTCTCGTAATAAACAAGAGTATTCCATTCACTTTCTGCGTTACTTTCCGAACCTACAAACTAACCTTTTGAAACTCCCGCACCAGATTCCCCCTGTGCCTCAGAATTCCACAGTCCTTGTCTGTCCAAGTAACACCCGAGGTCAGCAAGCACTCAACACCAGGTTGTAATCCAACAGGTTATTTGAAAACACAAGCTGACAGAGCCTCGCTCCTTCTTCAGACTAACACCTGAGGAACAAGCAAGGCTCCCAAAGCTTATGTTTTCAAATAACTTGTTGGACTATAACTGGGTGTCCTGTGATTTCTGACCTTGTCTACCCCAGTCCAACACCAGCATCTCCACATCATGTAATACATTGCTCTGTTCTTCCTGCCAATGTGAATATCTTCGCATTTTGCCACACAATACTCTATCTGCCACATTCTCGTTCACTCACTCGACCTATCTATATCGGTTTATGGCATACATCCCTACCTGTGTTCCCTTCATTGAAGTCATGGATGCGACCTGTGAAAAAGCTTGAGGCCCCAGCGCAAACCCCAGACAGACTCAATTTATCTTTCCAATCAGACAAAGACCCATTCATGCATGCTCCCTGTTTATAAATATGTATCCCTTATACCATGGGCTTTGATGTTCCACAACAACCTTTGATGTGGCACCTTATCAGATGCCCTCTGAAAATCCATATAAACATCTACAGCCTTGTCCCCATCCCCCCCAGCCACCTTTTATCCACAGCGCATGTTACTCCTAGAAAGGACTCCAATACATTGGTTAAACATGATTTCTGTTTGGCAAAACTGAGTTGACTCTTCCTCACTACCTTGAGTTTTTCTAAGTGTGCAGCTCTAATCTCTTTAACGAGTGATTCTAATACCTATCCCCGTGGCAGACATCAAGCTAACCATTCCATGGTCTCCCCAGCACCCTTGCTTTTTATCTCCATCCATTATTGAATGAGGAGGGAGGCAATTCCTTTGACATTCTGAAACCTTTTTATCAAGTCACTTCTCAATTTGTGAGAGTATAATCCATTAATTGAGCCTGCTTGCAGATATTTTGAACTGATATTATTTATCCTCTCAATCATTCTAATATTTATTTATCCGGGTGGCTCGGTGATTAGCACCGCTGCCTCACAGCGCCAGGGACCCGGGTTCAATTTCACCCTCGGGCTGTGTAAAGTTTGCACTTTCTCCCTGTGTCTGCATCGTGATTCCTCTGGGTGCTCCGGTTTCCTCCCACAGTCACAAAGATGTGCAGGTTAGGGTGGATTGGCCGTGCTAAATTGCTCAAATTGTCCAGGGGTGTTCAGTCTCGCTATGGCAAATGCAGGCTTACAGGGAAGGGTGGGCATAGAGTCATACGGCACGGAAACAGACCCTTTGGCCCAACCAGTCCGTGCCAACCATAATTCCAAACTCAACTAGTCCCACCTGCCTGCACTTGGCCCTTATCCCTCCAAACCTTTCCTATTCATGTAATTCTCCAAATGTCTTTTAAATGTTGTAAATGTACCCACATCCTCCAGCACCTCTGGCAGTTCATTCCACATATGAACTGTCCTCTGTGTAAAAACATTGCCCCTCAGGTCCCTTTCTAATCTTTCCCCTCTCACCTTAAACCTATGCCCCTGTAGTTTTGAACTCCCCCACCCTGGGGAAAAGACCCTTGTTATTCACCTTATCAATGCTCTTCGCGGTGTTGGTGCAGACTTGATGGGCCAAATTGCCTCCATCTGCACTGTAGGGATTCTACAATGCTGTTCTATGATTCTGCGGCTCCTGTGCAGTGTACGGGAGATTTCACTGCCCAATGCTTTAACTGTTCTGCCAGGAGAGTGCCAGTTCTCAGCACAGCACATATCTGGCCACCGTAGTCATAGGCGGCTACAACATCTGTTTCTCATGGATGCCTCTGCAGTTGCTGACTGTAAATTAGACAGATGAGCGGAGGGAAAAGCCAGAGACAAGACTGAGCAAGTTTAAATCCTGTGCCAGGCAGTTCTCTCTCTCTCTCTCTCTCCCTCCCTCTCTCTCCCACTTCCCAGTTGCTTGTCATTTCAGTACAGCACTGTGCTGTCATGTTGACATTTCTGTCCTGGGCCTGTTCGAATGTTCCAATCAAGTACAACGCAAGCTCAAGGACCAACACCTTTTCCATTTCGGCATTTTACAGCCTCAATATTGAATCCCACAATTTCGCTTCACCAGCATTAACAACCCCTTTGCCTTTTGCACTGAGCCTCCAAACTATCTGTTCCCTTTGCTCATCCTCCTCCATCTCTATCAAAAGTATTAAAAAAAACATTTTCCTGCCCCTCTCAGTTCTGATGAAGGGTGACCGGACCTGAAGCCTTATCTCTTTCTCACCCACTGGCAGGTGCTGACACATCCTCTCACTCAGTTGCTCACACAAACACCTTAGTACACACTCACACACAAAGATATGAATGCACACTCACATGTTCCCTCTCTCTCACACACTTACACAGTCCCTCACATGCACACACACTCACACATACTTACATGTTCTCTCACTTGTATACATGCTTAAACATTCCCTCTTGCTCATGCACACACATACATACCCTCACATCCACTCACTAACACTCACACACACACACACACAGTCTCATAAAGACTCTGACAAACACACACTTGCTCACACCTTCTCACAAACACATACACAAATACACAAAGCCACATGTGCTCAAGTTATGTGGCCATATTTGCAAGCACAAAGCTACAAAGGTTCACCCACTGATGTTCACACACACACATTGATGTTCACAGACACACACAAACTCTGTTAGTCTGTACATAAACACCCTGAACCCCTCAATTAGATTCCAGTCTGTAACTCAGTCTTGGATATATGTTATTCTATATATAACTCACCCTGAAAACCCTTGATTAAATTCCAGAGCCCCATATATTTATCTGTAATTGCTAGTTTGCCCAAGGACTACCTTAATGTCCTGGGGGGAGTGTGTCAGTATTTACAGAGGGTCCCTGGGTGGGGCTTTATCAGTATTTACAGGGGGTCCCTGGGTGTGTGTGTCAGTATTTATCGGGGGGTCCCCAGGGAGGTGTGTGTGTCAGTATTTAAAGGGGATCCCCAGGGGTGTATGTGTGTGTGTGTGTCAGTATTTACAGAGGGTCCCCGGGTGGGGCAGTATCGGTATTGACAGGGTGTCCCTGGGTGTGTGTGTGTGTGTGTGTGTGTGTCAGTATTTACAGGGAGTCCCCAGGGGTGTGTGCGTGTCAGTATTTACAGGAGGTCCCTAGGAGTGGATGTGTGTCAGTATTTACAGGGGGTCCCCGAGGGGGGAGTGTGTCAGTGTTTACAGGAAGTCCCCAGGAGGGAGGAGTGTGTCAGTATTTACAGTGGGTCCCCGAGGGGGGAGTGTGTCAGTGTTTACAGGAGGTCCCCAGAAGGGAAGAGTGTGTCAGTATTTACAGGGGGTCCCCGAAGAGAAATGTGTCAGTGTTTACAGGCCGTCCCGGGTGGGGGGAGCGTTGTCAGTATTTACAGGTGGTCCCCGGGCGAGTGTGTCAGTATTTTGCAGGGGAGTGCCATTATACTCTGGTTTTCTCTGTCTCCCACCCTTCCCTCAGCTGTGATCGGATGACGCAATGTCAATAATAAACTTTGTCCTGCCTAAATGCAGTCTAGATAACTTTTCATTCCTCACCAGAGTACGCAACAGCTTTGGATCTTGAATCGCAACAAGCTTTGCAACTCAAGTCAGGAGTGGGATGGAATATGCCCCACTTGCCCTGGTGCAGCTCCTTCAACACTTATGAACCTCAACACCATCCAGGACAAAGCAGCCCCCACTTGATTGGCACTACATCCACTCCTTCCACCACTAACGCTCAGTAGCAGCAGGGTGTACCATCTACAAGATGCACTGCAGAAACTCACCAAAGATCCTTAGACAGTATCTTCTGAACCCACAAACACTTCTATCTAGAAGGACAATGGCAGTAGATACAGGGAAACACTATCCCTTGCTAAAGCTCCCTTCCGAGCCACTCGCCACCCTGACTTGGAAGTACATCAGCCGTTCCTTCAGTGTCACGGGGTGAAAATCCTGGAACTCCCTCCCTAAAAGCACTGCGTGGGGCTAACTCCAGCACACAGACTGAGATAGCTCACCGCACCAACTCCAGGGGGCAATTAGGGATGGGAGAAAAACGTGGGGGGGAAACAAAATGGCTTCAGAACGTCATAGTGCAGGGACTGTGAATGTATCTGGGGCAACCTACCTCCTCCTCTTTCTGTCTCCTCCCCCTGAGGGGGGGCATGTATGCCCTAATCACCCCCGCGCGCGACGAACCCGGGGCGGAGCCCATGCCCAGGGCTGGGTACGAGTAGGTCCTGGGGTCGAGATTAGATGTCGAGGTGGTGATCACTGTGGGCTGCACCATCCACTGGAGGTCCTGGCTGGTAGTGAGCGAGGGCACCGTGGTGCCCATGCCCCCCTGGGGCACGCCGTACTTCTGAAGGGGAAAACAAGGAGTTAAAAGACGTCAATCCCAGCTTCGCCAACCCCTACCTTTCCCCTCGGCCACTCCCCAGGGGAATGGGATCCCCCCATTATTCAGAGGGAGGCAGGTTACTCCTAAACCGCATTGGATTTATGAGTGACAGCTTTGTATCGATGACTCCTCTGGGACTAGAAACATCATCTGGATATGAAAACCCCCTCCCCATATTAATCACCCTTCATCATGTTACAGATCTCCATCACATATCACTCCTGCAGAGGAGACAAAGTGTCCATTTCTGTCACCACTTAAGGGACATCTCAGGTTGCTTCACATCGAAGGGCACCCTGACCACAGGGCACTCACGTGTAGGACTGCAGGAAAATCAGCAGTCAATTTTTGCAAAGCAAGATGCCACAAACATACAATCTTACACCGAATGTGAGCTTCCATTTCTGGTCACGTTGTCTCAGAGACAGCTATCAGGATACAAGGGAGAACTCCTGTCTCCAGTGGCAACAGTAGCATCTTTTGATCCTCCAACAGTGCGGCACTCCCTCAGCACTGACCCTCCGACAGTGCGGCGCTCCCTCAGCACTGACCCTCCGACAGTGCCCGCTCCCTCAGCACTGACCCTCCGACAGTGCCCGCTCCCTCAGCACTGACCCTCCGACAGTGCCCGCTCCCTCAGCACTGACCCTCCGACAGTGCCCGCTCCCTCAGCACTGACCCTCCGACAGTGCCCGCTCCCTCAGCACTGACCCTCCGACAGTGCCCGCTCCCTCAGCACTGACCCTCCGACAGTGCCCGCTCCCTCAGCACT